ACTGCGCCACCCAGGCGCCCCTACCCTCACCTTTTAAGTCTGAGGACAGTCTGTCTCCCCTCATCCTTCTGTGTAAGACATTTGTCTGTGACAGAAAATCTCCCTTCCCTGAGGTCTTTGGCTGCCGTAGTCTTAATGCTTGGATTGTTGGAAACTTTCCCACTACCCTGTTAGTCTCCAAGGTCTTCATATGTCTCCATGATACAACTAAGACAATTCTTCAACTCTTCTACAACTAAGAATAACTTCACTTATTCTTATTTGCTGCTTGTGGGTTTTAGTAGCTTTTTTGGTCCTTCAGAATAAAACAAAACTTGGTCATTTTCTCTGCTTATCTCCTTTTATCCTTTGCTTTGGCTTAGATCATAAAACCCATTCTTGTCTTTATATTTTGTTTTGTTTTTAAAGTTTATTTGGTCACAACTGTTTAAGTTCTTTGTACAGTAACTGGTCATTTATATTTTTTATTCTATGAATTGTCTTTTTATGTCCTTCGCTTATTTGAAGGGTATGGGCGCTAGATTTTTTTTTTTTTAATAACAGATTTATTGAGATGAAATTCACATACTGCAAAAGTTACTCTTTTAAAGTATAATTTGGTGGTTTTTAACACAGTCACAGAATTGTGCAGCCACGGCCACTATCTGATCTGACCACATTTTCATGACCCCAAAAAGAAACCTCATGCTCATCAGCCTTCACTCCTGATTCCCTCCACCCGCAACTCCAGGGAACTACTGATCCGCTTCCCATCTGTACAGATTTTCCCATTCTGGACATTTCTGGATTCCATGAACGGAATCATACAATATGTGATCTTTTGTGTTGGCAATTTTCACTTAACATAATGTTTTCAAGGTTCGTCCATGTTGTAGCATGTATCACTACTTCCTTCGTTTTTATGGCTAAATAATGTTCCAGTGAGTAAATATACCGCATTTTGTTTATCTGTTCATCCGTTGATGGACATTTGGGTGCGTCCACTTCTTGGCATATATTGGATAATGCTGCTATGAAAATAGATGTACATGTTTTTGCATGGACATGTGTTTTCATTTCTCCTGGGTGTGTGTGTATATATATATACACATATAGGAATGGAATTACTTGGTCATATGGTAACTCTGCGTTTAACATTTTGAGAAACTGCCAAACTGTTTTCTAAAGCACCTGCACCATTTTACTTGCTCCCTATTGGTGTATAAGGCTTCCCAGTTTCTCTGCATCCTCACCAACATTTGTTATAGTCCACCTCTTATTAATTATAGCCATCCTAGTGGGTGTGATTATCTTTCATCTGCTAGAATACTTTGTCTAAGCTGCCCTGTGTGTGTGAAGTAATGTACATCTTGGCATATCCTGTCTTTTTCTTCTTAGACATTTTAGTTTGATGTCCAGTTCCAAGAATGTTCTCTTTGTTGTAAAAACTGTAAATGTGGCTTTTTGTTGGAACTTCTAAGTGAACTTTGCTTTTGATTCATAGCAAGGTTTTTGCCTTAGTGTGTCTGATGAGTTTCAAGCTGTTACAATTTTCAGTTGTTAAAAGCACACTGTTACAAATTGTTGCATAACAAGTACCTAGACAAAGTGCCTAATAGAGTGAAGGGGAATCATTCATAATCAACACTGACAGTGTTTCCAAGAATTGTTGGTGCAGTATTGACTACAAAATTGGGGAACACCAATTATAGACAAGAGTAACCAAAAATGGTGCTAGGTTTAATAAACTGAGCACTTTTGTGCGCATGATCTCATTTGATCTTTGTATCAGCCAAGAGATATAGGTGGGATGGGAAAATTTATTGACCTTCAGTCAAAATGTTTTACTGAATGCACTTGTAACGTAAAGATTTCCACACCAACCAATACCTGTGTTGCTTTGTCTTAAATTATTTAAAAAGTATTGGTTAGCATTAGCATTTTCATAAAGCTCTAACTTGCTCACAGTGTAGTTATTTTATTCTTTTAGTTCCCATTTGTTCCCTGTTATTATCTGTATCTGAACAGGTATGGAATAGAGATGATAGTCTCTGTACCTCAACTATGTGCCTCTTTCTGAAATGCATAGAAAACTGCACTGGTGATTCTTTTATACTTGGTTACCTTTTAAAATGAAAGCGCTTCTTCCCTGGCCCCCCAGCTTTGTATTTTGAAACATTTCCAACTTACAAAAAACGTTAAAAGAGTAGAATATTGAATTCCTGTATTTCCCAATCATCCTCTCTTCACCGATTACCGATTATTATTTTGCCCTGTTTACTTTATCTTTCTAAGTATAGATGCTTTTATTTTTCTCTACTTTGAAAGAAGTTGGAGACCTCATGAAACTTCACCTCTGTGTACTTCATCTTACGTCTTCTGAGAATAAAGGCATTCTCCCGTATCATCATAATACTGTTGTTTAACACATAAGTAATAATTCCGTAACATCATCTACTATGTAGCCCAGGTTCAGATTTCTCTAGTTGCCACCAATTGTCTTTAAATAGCTGTTTTTCCTCTGATCTGTTGGCTTATTATGTCTTCCTTAGTCCCTATTTCATTTTTTTCTAATTAACTTTTTTGAGATACAATTTACATATCATAAAATTCACCCATTTAAGTTACAGTCATTTTTGGTAACTGGTTGTGTAACCATCACCAATATCCAGTTTTTAAACATTTTTAGCACTTCAATAAAATCCCTTTGCCCATTTGTAGTTAATCCCCATCCCTACCTCCAGCCCCAGGCAACCATTAACTTACATTCTATCTCCACAGATTTGCCTTTTCTGGGCATTACTATAAATGGAATCATACCATGAGTAATCTTTGGGTTTTTTTTACTTAGCATAATTTTTTTCTGGCTCATCATTTTGTGGCATGTGTCACTAATTCTTTTCTTTTTATTGGTGAATAGTAGGTAAGTATTCCATTCAATAGATTCACCACATTTTGCTATCCATTTACCAGTTGATGAACATTTGGATTGTTTCCCTTTTTTGGTTGTTACGAATAATTCTGCTATGAACATTCATGTACAAGCCTTTGTGTGGACATATGTTTTTATTTCTCCTTTATACCCCTAGGAGTAGAAATGCTCAGTTGTATGGTACATTTATGTTTAACCTTTTAAGGAGGTGCTAAACTGTTTTCCAAAGTGGTCTTACATTATTTTGCATTCCCACCAGCAATGTTTGAGAGTTCCCATTTCTCTGCGCTTTAAAAAGAAAATTTTTTTTAATGTTTATTTTTGAAAGAGAGAGAGAGAGAGAGAGAATGAATGAATCGGGGAGGGGCAGACAGAGAGGGAGACACAGAATCTGAAGCAGGCTCCAGGCTCCGAGCTGTTCACACAGAGCCCGACACGGGGCTCGAACTCAAGAACCGTGAGATCATGACCTGAGCTTAAATTGGACACTTAACCGACTGAGCCACCCAGGGGCCCCTCATTTTTCTGCACTTTTAAGAATGGTTATTAGATTAGTCTTTTTAGAAATTATTATGGCCAGTCTAGTGGGTATAAAACTGTATCTCGTGAGGGTTTTTTTTGCATTTCCCTAATGACTAATGGTGTCGAGCACCTTTTCATGTGTTTATTAGCCATTCACAAATTTTCTTTGGTGGAATGTCCTTTCAAATCTTTTTCCTATTTTTTAAACAGGTTATCTTGTTATTGAATTGTGAGTTCTTTGTGTGTTCCAGATACAAATCCTTCATAGATATTTGAATTGCAAAGACTTTCTGCCAGAGAATGCTAAGGGTTTTATTTTGGTAATGATGTTAACCATGAACCTTGCTTAATTTTTCTCATTTGCTATGGGGCTTTTCTAGACAATTGGAATAAGAGCTAGATCTTTTCTTAATTCTTTCATGTGTCTAGCTAGTACAGAAGTAGAATAAACAATTAAAGACAGTGATAGTCACTGTCATCTTCGTTCTGCAGTTAAGCAGTGAGAAACTTCCTTCTGAACCACGAGAAGCAAATAGACACACACTATGGGTATTAGGGCTCTTTCAGTTGTAAGAGTCAGAAATCCAGTTTAGACTCTTCAGCAAAACAGACTTTTAGTGCTTTTCTCTCGCTTCTTCAGCTCTGCTTCTTTTTTCATTCTTTTGGCCGACTCTTCACATGTGGCCACTTTCGTCTCCAGATTCAGTTCTTCCCAGCTCAGCAGAAAGAGCCAGTCTTTCCCCCTGGCCCAAGAATGGAGTACTCTGGCCAAGTTAGGTCGCTTGCCCTGCTTTTTGCTTTTGAGAGATGTGGAGCATCCAGATTCGCAGTCCTGTTGTAATGCGGGAAGGAGGGCGTAGTTCCCTCTAGAAAGAGGTGCTGGGCAGACAGACTCTATCTACGTCTGCTTCTTCAGGGGTGTTGGGGTCATTTTTTGCCCACTTTTATGAAATTAAACCAAAAGTAATGAGTAGAAAGTTGATACCTGGAGTTTTGGGAAAAAAACACATTTGTTATCTGATTAATTTTAACACTAAATTAGCCTTTACTAGTAGTACTTTTTCTTACCTAAACAAACTCATGTGATGTTTGCTTTGCATTCCGCATACCCCTTTCCCCCTCCCACTGAGGTGAGAGGCAAGCGACGTTAGCAGTAATAACAACTTGGTAATCGTGGCTGATTTTTCTGTACTTCTCTTGAGAGTTCTTTTATGTAGTTTTCTTTAGCTCTCTGAGGCGGGGTTATATCCAACTGTCTCGGAGTG